TTGATGATGGTTGCTACCATCTTTACAACCATTTTGTTTCCTTTTTTGGATTGTGACATGGAACACTAGTGGCATTTCAACTTTTGAATATTAGTAACTTTCTATATTTTAAAAAATCTTGACCCATTACTAAATTTTGCCACCTCTTCTGTATATTGTTAACTATTAAGGTATGATCTTCATCCAAAAATTTCCAATTTTGCTACATAAAGCTGTATAATTAATATGATGATCATTTACATTTGTATAAAGGAGAATTTTCTTTGTAGTAGTAATACAGTCAGGGTTCTTTTCAAATTTAGAATTTCCAAATATGTAATGATCGACGTGGCTAATGCAAAAAATTGATCAACAATAAATATTCCGAATTGAATAACAAATAATTTGAATAAAAAACTCTAATTAAAGAATATCAAGAAAAATTATATATACATGTAAAAATCAAAAATTTATTGCTCATTCATGAACAAAATGATTAATATAATTAATATTAATACAATGATGATAAATTGTGATTTGAATCATTTCTTTCTATTGTGTTGTTATTGTTATCTGACATTAAGGATTTGTTGATGATGGTGAATGAAAATGAAGTTGTTATTATCCATTATTATTGGTTTAAGCATGTATGTATGTCTAAAAAATAATTTAAAGAGAAATAAAATTTGATCAATTAAATGTTTATTGATAACATCAATTTGCAGGAAAAGGATCAAATTTCTGGGTTGGCAAAAAATTTAGAATTAAATAATCAATAAATTATGCATTGGATAATACTTATCTTATTATTACACAACACATGATTCAATTGTCTTCATGTTTCTTTTCAAATCATCTCTCTTCTACTTCACCATTGTCAGTCACATTGTGAATATCTTTAATTTGTTGCACAATCAATAATAATTCTTCTTTCTTTTTTGATGCCAGTCCTTTGAACTGTGGACAATTGGTTTCATTTAATGATCCAATTAATGATTGAATTATCAATATTAATTCCCTGTTTGACATTGAATTTTCTGATAATTTCTTTTCTTCTTCAAGAGTAATTGGTATGATGCACATAATTCTTCTAGATGGCTTTATTGAACCTAGTTTTTCTTTAATGAAATCTATTCAATGAGC